AAAAAGATTCTTTTGCTGGCTTTATAATGGCACATATTCGCAGGGGTGAATTTAACAATTTACCACCCCTATGTCAAAAAAAAAATTTGCTGCCCTTATTTAAAAAAAATTACGACTGTATAACAAAATTTTCTTACATTATAAAAATGTCTATGTATGCAATTATTTTTTCATTTAACTTAAGTTCAATAAAAACGTTTTAATTCAAACATAATATTTTCTCTTTATTTTTATTATACAAGAAAAAAAATAGTAATAAATTATTTAGTTATATATTAAGTAGTTTTAATGTAAATTATTTTGAAATTAAAAAATTCGAGAAAAAAATTAAGTATTTTTCTATACAAGAACAAAATAAATATTAAATATGATTTTACTGCGTATAAAAAACCACTCTCCAAAAATTTGCCGCCCTATGCGAGTGCATAGTTCACAGTACCTTAAATCCAACCCTGCATATTCGTTCTTGGTTGTCTGACAAACAATTTAAAAATTTTATATTTTTAAAAAGAAACCAAAATTAGGGAGACATTTAATTTTTTAAATAATATTTTTTATTCAGTATTTGTATTATAAATAATAATAATAATTCAATGTTTTTGTCATATAAATTATATACCTTTTTTTAATAGAAAAAATTATTTTTCAGTGTAGATAATTGGTAATTTCAAGAAATTCAATTATTTAATTAAATAATTTGTAATTACTTTTTTTTAAATAATTTTGCCATCTCTGCTACTGATTATTTTTCTCCACGCCCAACACTCGATTCTTAATCAAATCATTTTTGTATCGCTGCCATTCCCAAACGCGTAAAATGATTGGCCCACAATATCTCAACGAAACAAACCTATAGAATTATATATTATTATATTTGCGAAGCTCATCACTTCCTGCTTGCGTCAGACGTGTTTCCCAAAGATTTCCCGAGGACAATGTGTCGTAGTGGTAATATACGCACATCAATGCACATACGCTATATATTATTCACAAATAAAATATATTCATTACTAGGTATTATTAAACCTAACCTATGGTGATTAATAACTTAAATGTATTGTAGTTGCACGTAATATTGAGTACATAAAATCTCGTAAATCCTAATAAAACCTTGATATTATAATAGTTGCGTGATCGTCAAGTCCTTAAATTATCTACTTAAAAATAATCTTAACTTTAAAGCTTATTTAAAATTTCTAAAAATCAAAACTTGAATAAATATATAATTTAAACATAAAAAATGTATTGAGCGTGCTAAAAAAATCACCCAATGTACCTTACGTATTATATACAAATACTCGGGGACCAAAAATGTAAATAGAAGAGAAAAGTCTTAGCTAACATTTTTTTCATATTTACATATATATCCGTGATTTACGTTACATTGTATACGTAATAAGTAAAGTCATCTTCTTGAAAATTTTTTTTTTACCCAAACCGTTATTATGCAACGACAATCATGTAACATCAAACGATCAAGTCCTTCAACCTAAACTTCATGACTGCAGAATATTGTTAATATATTTTCTTTGAATATAATAAAATGTGTTTATTTAAGCTTAGTTTTTTCATTACATGATATGTATATAATTATTTTTTATTGTCAACAATTTAAAAGTACAAAGGAAGAGGTGAATAAAATACCACTTAAGCGCAATAGTTCTATTTACGTTTTAGAGAAATATCTGTATTAAATATATTTAAGTAAAAATTAGTTTTTCATAGTTATGTGTTTTTTTTAATTTGAAGAATCGAAGATATTTTTTTCAGTGTTAAACCAAAGTGCTCTGTAAGTTTCCTGTGACCTTATTTTGTATCTATTAGAAATCTGATCTAATATTGCTACGTAAAAGATGACTTATTGATTTTTTCAATATTTCCCTTAAATGTAAAGAAACCTATCGAAAAATTATAAGAATATTTCTATGACCTAAAAGTTGAATACAAACTAATAATATTTTATTTATAAGCTGAATAATCATAAATCACACCAAATTTACAGGGATTTAAATATTAAAGTACCTATAAGTTACAATGAATTGTTTATATTATATAACTAACTTTCTATTTTGGCGTTTCTTATAATTTAATTATTGTAGTTTTGGATACAAAGAATATTGATATTTTAATGCTTAATATGATATATATATTATTTACTACTATAGTATTTAATATAGGTACTATGTTCAATATCTTTAATTGTTAATATCTAATTAATTTTAAATTTGTAATATACTTTGTAGATTGTTTCGAAATTATAATATATAATAACATATTAGGTACTTTTCTACATGGATTTATAAAACCGGTTTTTAACCGATAATAATTGATGTTTTAAAATGTATCTTAATTAAGTAAAATAGCACGTGGACACAGTACAATTAAATTTATTAAAAGTAAATTATAATAAATACATTGTATGTTCCACTAAAAATAATATTATGAAAAAAAATACTAAAATAAAGTTTATGCTGGTTGGCTGATTACTAAAGTTAAGGACTTTTAGGAGTTTATACGTTTTTCAATAATCAATTGAAACATAGCTAAGTAACATAGAAATTTGTTTCTTATAGTATTATTTTTGTATATTTTTAGAGTATATATTTAAGCGCATAAGTATATGAATATTTTAATGTTTTTTAGAGCATTAAGTCTCTAGCCCTACTGATCACGTATAATTTCATATTTAAAAATTTCAAACAATCAAATTATTTTCAATTACGTAATTTAAAATATAAAATACCTACTTTTAGCTTAAGGCCAAGACCAATTCACATTATATAAAGTTTAATGATAAAAAAAATATACAATTAAATTTGCAACTACACTTTAACTTTATTTAGTTACACGTATTCTAATTGTATTGGTTATTTCTTATTTTTATCAAATCAAACAAAACTAATGAAAAATATATTAATACCTTATAAATTATTCAAGTTATCGTATACATAAACTGATAAATTACAATGAGACATTTAAAAAACCATTATTTTGATTAATTGTGAACAAATTAATAAACATAAAATATAATTTATTCAAACATATTATATAAGTATATAACACATATAAAACATTTAGTTTAAGCAAACAATATAATAACTAATGCGCAGTACTGTATTTAATAATATATTATCCAAGTTAATATTTTGTTTGTAGATATTGTTTACGGTAACCTAAATTTCTCTGTTATAAGAACATTTAACGCCCACCAAAATAGAAAATCAAACTATAAACCTATTTAAGATTTTAAATATATCGAGGAAAAAGTATATTAAACTGCTTATAATTTAAATAAATAACTATAAATACATATATTTTTTCGTTTAATAAGATATTCATTCTGACATCCAAGATAAATTAGTTGTATGTTTATATACCGAATTAATTCATGAAATTTATAAGTAGGTAAGTAGTCCAAGTTATATTGTGGTATTAATAATGGTATCTGTGAGTGTTTTTTTCACTGTAGAATATCAACCATTAAACGAATTTGTAATAAGACAAATTTCATAAAACTGTACTTGAATAATATTTCACTTTGTATAGATTATCACCAAAATATAAATTAAATTAAACTTAAATAACAAAAACTAAATTAATTCCCTTGAGATATATTAAAATATTTATACAACTACAAAAAAATAAAAATAAAACAATACATATCTTGGTATAACGTATACATTTTTTTGAAAGTAATAGTTTTTTTAAAAAAATGATATATTATAATGTATAATTTAAATAATACATTTTAATTTCAATGCAAAATATAACCAATGGAAATCGAAAATTAAAATATTGATAAATAAAAATAAATATTAACATAGAAATAATAATTATATATCAATCAAAGTTCAATTTTTGAGTTTAAGTTTATTTTTTAAGACACTTAATAACAACTTTATATTAATATATTTTATAAAGTAACAATGAATATAAGTTATGATAATTGCATAAAAAAGAAATAAAATGTTGCAAATTATTCTATTCACGAATTAAAAAAACTTTCAATTCTATTCTTAAAATGTTGTTAAAAAAATAAACAAGTCATTTGTATTGATAAGATGTGATTATAAACTAAAGTAATATTATGGAAATTCACAAATATATAGTTTCTAATTTATTTTATTTTATTAAACTTTGATTGATGTATAATTATTATTTCTAAGTTAATATTTATTTTTATTTATTAATGTTTTAAAGTTTTCCTGAAATTTTAATCTAAAATTAATGCAATTTAAATACAATTTTTTTAATACTATAATACAAAAATTTAAATAAAAATAATTTACAATGTTTAGGGAAATTTAAAAGTGATATCGATGTTATAATATTTAATTACAACTGATATAATTTAAAAAAAAATTGAATAATGTAGAGACATAGTAAAATATTTCGTCCTAATGATAAAAACTAAACACAAAGATAATTAGACATATTTATTTAATTATTATTATTTTGTTATTGTCCTTGTTAATATTATTATATAAAAATAACGTAAAGACGTCAAAAAGTTGATTTCTAGATTTTTAAATTTTGATTGTAGTTAGTTTAAAGTATACAACTTTTAAACTAATGCTTCATTCCTAATAAAGTAATCGATGATAAAACTACTATAATACGAGTAGATCAATGATATAAATATAAAAATGACATTCCTGATTCGTGAAAACATCGCTAATTTTAATTTTGGCAATATAATTTCTATAAAATATGTATAGATTATTATTTATTGATACTATTTTGATTTAAAGATGTAACATCTTGAATATGAAATGTCAGAATCATAAAATTAACTTAGAACTATATTAATCGGGTTGAATAAGGTTTCTATTCTTACTATATTTAACTTAAAAATCAAAATAATGTATTATTTATGGTTTCTTGTTTAACACTTTACAACTATAATACTAACTAAATAAAAGCTGTTGTTATTAATAATATTTTAATTTAAGAAACAGATTTAAATTTAATATTTAATAATTGTTTTAATTGATTTTTAGGATCAGTTTTCAAGAATCATGGATACGAAAATTAAAGAAAAGTTAAAGTGCATAAATAGCTTATATTATCGAAAATTTCAACAAGAATAATTACAAACAAGTCAATCGAAATATTTAAAATTATTTCAGTTAACGTTTAAGATATAAAATAATCAAGAAGATAAGTGACCTTGGTTTCTGAACATAGTTAGATATGTTTGGTTTACAATAAACAACTATGAATTAACCAACTCAAACATACATATAAAAAGTAAATTAAAATAATTAATTAACTATAACTTTAAAAAAAACAATCTTCTCGTAGTTAATTATTCCTTAATAAACAATAAACTAATAACTAACAAAAATTAACCATTTTTTTCTCTTTTTATTTATTTTCAAAAATAAAAAAAATTTTAAGTTTAATTTATAGTTAAAATTACTGATACAAGAAAATTTAAATTGCATAAGTTAACATATTATATGTAATTTAACTATTTAATATTAAGGTTACATTAAACTTCATAAACACTTTATAGCAGAATAAAATATTATAATATACAATAAATAACTATAGTGTATAGTTTATGCAATTTTATCATAATATGATAAATTGCCTTGTCTCTATACATATTAAAACACAACGATAATGATGACTGTATTTATAAATTTTTAATTTGTCTAACGACAATTTTTCTTTTAAACAATATCAAAATATACCGTGCGATTTGTGTCCAACATGTCGGATAACTTATAAAACATACCATTTGAAAACATGCATGAATATTTATAAAAGTAGCATATTTAATAACAATAATGGTGACAATTTAGATTCGCAAAATGTTGTTCTTTTATCGGTAAGTTCATGAATTAATAATACATACGAGAAGCAAGAAACAAAATATTATTCTATTAACATGGATTCGGTTTGTCACTTTAGAAACTTATACATGTAATATAAGAACATTTAACAATAATTTTTAGGTGAACACTTTCGATTTACGAGTAATTATATCGTATTAATAACTATCATCAACAACTGAATGATTTTATTAATCACTACATATGCAAATACGCGTAGAATGTTGAATTAATAGTAATCAAACAAATAATTTCTATAATAAATTAATAAATATATTTCTGTAATTCAATCAAGTGAGTGGGTAATTAAAATATATTTTAACCTATACATAAAAGACTCATTTATAAATCTTTATCAAAAAAATATAAGCTTTCAACAAGTTAAAACTAATTAAACAGAAATCATACAAAGATTGGTATTTTTATAAACAATAAATAGGTATGTTTAAATAAACTATATTTATACCTATATTACGCAAAATTTCTAAAATTATATTATTAACTATGAATATTGATTGATTTAATCTTTAATTAGTGAATCGTTGCAATGATTATACTAATAACTTATGTACTAGGTACCCAAGTTGGAAAGGCGAAATTCTTGGAGAAACAATACAATACCATAAATACAAATTAAGGCAATTAAGTATATAAAACGCTAATAATATAATTAAAAACTTGAATATCTAAAGAAATTTTTTTTAAATTAAATGATTTTTAAAAAGTGTATAAATACAGTGTGAGATTTTATAATAATACTGTTAGTTTATTATTTTTTAAGTGGTAAAGCACTTTATAATATAAGTTTGATAAAATTAAAGTATTAAGATAATTTTCATACAATCGGGGCCAAATTATTGATCAAATATACTGTAATATAAATAGATACGCAAATTATTTATAAATAGAGCGCGGATTTCTATGCCATTGCATATTTTTTTCCTTTTAATATTTTTGGATTTTTGTCAGTTATCTCCACGAATTATCATAATTTGAAGCTAATGGTGAAATTTTTTTTTGCATATTTCTGCATATTTGAAGGTTATTGCATATTTTTGCATATTTTGACAAAATTCAAAATTTATTGCATATTGAAGCGAAAATTTAAAAAAATGTATAGGATAATATTTTGTCAAGTAGAATGATTTAAAATTTATATCTATTCATTTGGCATTTTTAGTGATAAAAATAGCCATAAAAAAAACTGGAAACTCGAAATATGACTTTATATCTAAGCTTTTCAATAATTGACGAAACGAAAGAAAAAATGCATTCTATTCCTGGATTGAAAGGTGTAACACTTACAACAAAATTAAACGAGCTTTCCAATAAAAATGAAGGTCTGAAAATTCTACGAAAAATTAATTCAGTGTTATTAAGTGAAAACGTTCATCTTGAAGATCTTTATCAAGATCCGACAATACTAAGTTGCTTCAAATATGCCCCAATAACTTCGGTTGACGTCAAACGTTCGTTCTCAGTCTTTAAAAATATGTTAATCGATAAATGATACAACTTCACAGAAGAAAAACTTGAAATGCATATGATTATTAATTTTAATAATAAATACAATTTTAAAAATAAATTAAGTTTAGAAAATTTCCTAAATTATTTATTATTAAGTATTTAAGTAATTAATTATTATAAGTTTTATTGTAAATTTTAAATAAATAAAAAATTCTTGTATATTTTTGCATATTTTCATAATTTTGACTGCATATTTTCATTATTTTTACTGCATATTATATGCCATATTTCGATACTTTTAAGTGCATAAAAATCCGCGCTTTATTTATAAATATAAAAAGAGACAATTATTCGTAACAGAATAATCTTATTCTATCAGATTCAATAATATAAAATGCCTCTGATGGTATTGTACAAAGATCATTCGATAAATATACTAGAATAACAATATTTTAAATAAAGTTAATATTGTTATTCAAATTTTAATCTAACTGCGCATTTATCTGGCTAGTGGTTAATGTTGTCTCAGTTCAACAGTTGAAGATTTTTTGTTTTATAAATTCATATTTTCTAAAGAAAAATATTTAAGAAGAAATTTGTTTTGTCGGTTTATTAAAAATATAGAAATTACACGTGTCTTCCGAGTTATCTGGTAGTTTTTTTGAAATTATAAACTGATTTTTGCAACCATCATCATAGTTATAGATAGTTAACAAATTACATGGAGTATAAGGAATAGAAATATTAGTGTAGTTTCAGTCTTCAGCTGCTTTTTAAACATATAAAAACATATTAAATTACTATTTGCAAAGAAATTCTGCTTTAAGATTTCTCGATAAATAGTCTACTCAATCATTATTAAGGATTTATTTTAGATTCTGAGCGGAGCAATAAATATCTTATCATGTGTTTTTTTTTCTGTGTATTAGTTTAAGATAAACTATTGATAAAAATGCTTCGATTTTCATAAATAGAGGTGGTTATAAAATGGATATAAAATTAGATCTAGTTTTTAGTTTTGAAGAAGTCAAACTTAAAAATGTCAAATATTTATTATATAATAAGGAAAAACAAACAAAAAATAAGTAAAAACCGGAATTTTTACGAAATTAATTTTATTTTTTTTTTATGTAACTCAAAAACAAATAATCGTAGATACTTGAAATCGTCAACATATGTTTATATTATTGTTTTTTATTTAAAACAAAATTGTGAATTATTATAGGTGTAAAAAATTTTAATTTTTATTAGTTATTTTTTTATAAAAGTT